GCCTAACATTCACGTCTTAACTTGCCAACCAGGATGCACATGTCTAGAAAGCACGATGTCAGTTCCCATGGAGGTCTTGGAAGCATAAACTTTATTTGAGCCCTACTCAAAATGGAAGTTTTAGTCTAAACAGCTTCTTATATTGGTGCAGATATTATCTTTCTTATGCTGGGTCCACACCAGGGGCAAATTATAAAGGAAAGAAACCATAAAATCTCACACATGGGTACAGGAAATGCTGCTGAGCTGTGGGTTCGGGTCCAAGCTTATTGTGGCTAACAGTTAGTAAGTACTAGCTGACTTCTATTGTGATCTGTTTCCAAGAACACCAAAGCACAGAACATAACAGAATATATAATCAACTCAGGCATGAGAAAGTTTCCTAGTGACAGCACATGAGAAAATGTCCTTATAACATCAGTAACAGCACAAAATGGCTAGTTAGACAGGCAACAATTACTACTTAGGCCTTAACATGCAGCTATAGTGTTTTCTACCTAACACTTTGCCTGCTTTCTTCTTACAAAGAGTAGCACTGTTTTATTCAGATACCAAGAGACAGGAACAACGTTCTTAGAGAACATGAACATAGCCAAGATAAGAGAAGGCATTTCTTGCTCTAGCCATCAAGATAATGGTGACAAAATGAATACATACACAGTGACAGGAGTGGACAGCCACCATTCTTTCTTCCTGCTTTTAACTTCACTCGGGGCCAGATAATTTGCATTGTATAATGATGATCAGAAATATGGAAAGATGGCTTCCTTCATGTACCTGGGCTGGAGGCCAACCTGGAATGCAGGGCCACGTTCCACTGAGCTGCTCCAAACATGCAACAGAGTGTGCTGTGGCTTCAGCCTTCAAGTGCCCATTCTGATGACATGATAAAGAAGAAAGGGCTAACAGAACACCTAACACAAAGGAGTCGATGATTAGCAGCTGATAGAGGCCTAACCATGACAACCACAATGGACAACATTCTCTCCACTGTCTCCTGTCACTGCTAAAAACCAACAGCAATTCAATCATGATGTCACAGAACTGGGCACTAAAAGGTCTAACCTATACCAAAAAGGGGGTGGAGGGAAACAGTAAACAACATCTAAAACCAAAGCAGGAGTGGTATAGCAACACCCTATATGTCAAAGTTCTACGCAACAGGTAGTGTTCATTTCCTCTGTCCCAGAATCCCAACCCTGCAATCTGTCTGATGACATAATTCTTTAATTTAGCTTCTTTGTTTTGGGGGCGGGTGGACATTTTGTCTTGTTGGCTGTTATAGACTTTAGCAATATATCAATCACATTGCTGGATAGAGTTTTCCAGTGTAAATGAACAGATGTCTCTTGGCCTTGGGGAATCAACACAGACCGAGTAACAATTCCATTCAAGCATGGCTGGGTGCACCAGAGTTTATCTATCTTACAGATGCATGCATAAGGAACCACTAGCAGGAGGAGGGTGGTCCCAAAAGAGCAGTGTCACCACAAGTCTCGCCTCAGCGTGGATGGAGACTTCCCCACAGAGGCACTGATGGGGTCTACGTTTTAGTCAACCTTCTATTCTTGGTATATGTCTTGGTTTGAATTTTATGGCTATGAAGAGACACCATGACCAAGGCAACTCTTATAAAGGTAAACATTTAATTGGGGCTGGCTTACAGTTTCAGAGATTCAGTCCATTATCATCATGGTGGGAAGCATGGAATCATGCAGGTTGCCTTGGTGCTAGAGGAGCCAATATCCAAAGACAGCCAAGAGGAGGCTCTCCCTTCTGTATTGAGAAGAACTTGAGCACTAGGAGTCCTCAAAGCCCTCCCATACAGTGATGCACTTCCTCCAACAAGGCCACGCCTATTCCAACAAGGCCACACCTCTTAATGGTGGCACTTCCAATGGGCCAAGCACATTCAAACCACCATAGTATACTCTAGCATTGCCCTTGCCATGGACAGCTGGAGTGGAAATCAGGAGGCTTAGGACACAGTAGTCAGAATCACAAGTGAGGGCCTGGGATCTTCCCACCCCCTAGTATGAAGGAACGTCAACAGATCCCATTCTGAGAGAGGCTTGTAGGTGATCACAGCTGCTCAGATGAAGGATGTAATCACTACTGAGCTCAGGGGACAGTGCTCCACACACTCCCCGACACTATAGTTATGAAGACATTACACTGCTTTTGCTAGAGACTGGAATAAAAATCACATCATTTTCAATACAATCTTAAATGAAAAAAAAAATCAGAACCCACGAGTGTATATATACTCTGATTACAACCACGGGAAACATAACTATAATTAGCCTGGGTTGTAACTGGCGAACAGGTTGTTAAATATGCACCCAGCTGAACACGGAGATGGAGCGTATTGTGGATTCACAGAGCTTCTAGGGGAAGAAGACAAAGAAAGAAAAGACCACAGTCGCAACCATGACTGCTATAAAAGGAATGGCTCTTCTCCACCAAGATCATCAGATGGATTTCAAAATGGCCCAGGAAGCCAAGAGCAGAGCTGAATGTGCCCAGAGCTTCAAAAGTGTAGGCCATCTCCCTACCCCACACAGTATGTACCCAGAGTGGCAGCCCAAACCAGAACAAGGCCAGCAATTTAAGGAGCAGGAGCAGCCTGGCCCTGGGGGGAACACTGTGCAGCTTCCAGGTGCTGCTGGCTTGATAAATATTTCTTCCAGAATATTCGCTACAGACGTGTGGCTTCTATAAAAGCTGTATTTGTGGTCAGTACTCGAAAGCAGGAACAACGGAGCAGCCATGTCCCGGTGAGGCTAACCATCTAGGAAACCTGCAGAAGGACACTCACAAATGCGTGTTTACGAGAGTGTGAAAGGGCCCATGAGATGGTGTGACGTGTAAAGGAGTCCCTGAGTCCAGTGACTTGGATTCAGTCCCCAGAATCCACATGTCCCCTGTGAATAAATATATAACATTTTAAACAGTGTGTGAAAATAAATACATAGGTACTGCTACATACTGTAAATGTAAGGAGATTTTCTTTGTACTTCCTGTCCATTGTGTCCTGTGGCGGACTCCGCCTTTCTATCTTCACTCATCAATCTTTATTTTTTGAAACACGATCTCTAGCCAGTAACCCAGCCCATACTCACTATTTCATCTCAAAAAACCCCAAGGCCACGTGCAATTAGGGAAGATTTGCATCCAGCTGGTTGGGGATGTGTGTGGCTGGCCCCTCCCTGCGCCTTCCTCCTATGAAGAATGGTAAACGGCCAATAGGCCCAACTGCATGAGCTTTTGACACAGGCTCAACGTAACTCCTGTTCTACACAGGAGTACCCACCCCAGTGATTTTGAAATAAAATCCATATAGGGACTAAATAAAAGACAAGTAACATGAGAAAACGGTAGACTCGTCTGCATATAAAGTGCTCAGGCGTGAGCACATGGAACCTATGTGCAGGCAATGGCACCTGACCACGGGAGACTAGACAGAGGTAGAGAGTCCAGTGAAAGGCGAAGACTCTGCTACAGCATCACCCTCACCAGAGGCTAATGTTGCTCTTCAGTAGTTCTTCTCAGGAGACTAGATCAGGAGCAGGTTTCTACAAAGCAAGATCACCACAGTCCTTCCTCCCATAGCTACAGTATGTTAACAGGTAGTTAGAGTTACCTTGACACATATATGTGTATATGAATATATGTGTATATTCATATAATGTGTGAGTGCATATATATGCATACATATACCTATACATACACACACACACACACACACACACACACACACACACATACTTTTGGAGGGTTTTTACAATTTAGCACACATATCTAACTAACCAGAGGGACTCTGAAGTCTAACGCTGTTTACTTAGGAATAGCAGAACACTGTGATGTGGATCCACACAGCCGAGGAAACTGTTTATTCAAGGAGAGTTGAGGCAGGTAAAAAGTTTTGAAGGAAAAAATGAGGAGCAATGAACTGCAGAAATGGCTCAGTGAACAAAGTCCTTGTCGTACAACATAAGGAGCATAGCACCCTGTGAACGCTGGACACAGCGGTCATCTGTAATCTCAGCACTGGGAGCCAGAGGATCCCTGGGGTTCGCAAGCCGACCAGTCTAGACAAATGAATGAGCTCCGTGCGGGGTGTCTTAGGAAAAGAGTTTCCCCATACCCAGAGGGACAGTTTGAGGTCCAGGAATACAGATATGCACAGGACTGTAAGGGACACTGAGAGACCCTGTCTCAGAAAATACGGTGGAGAGTAACTGAAGACAGTGCCTGAAGTTGACCTACGGCCTCCATATGCATGCACATGTACATGCATGTGAATATACCCATGCAAACATGCTCACACACCACACGCATACATGTGCACACACAATAGGAGGATTACTTAACTATGTGAGACCATCTTAGGCTGCAAAGGAGAATAACAAGGGTCATGCTATTCTAAAAGTAAACAGTTGTTGGACAGACATCTTTGTGGAACCAGCGTGTGCATACGTGTGGATGTTTGTGTGTGGGGGTGTGTAAAGTTGTGTTTCTAGCAGAATCTTTTATGAATACTTATCAGTCGTGCATGCACAAAATCCGATCCTTTATGTACTTAGTAATTATTGATTAATTCATTATTTCCTCCTTTTTTGTTTGGGCTTGACGAGTCACTCCATTTTGATTCTGACAAGCTTCACAGTTTTCCAAATCAAAGAACCTCCAGGCACCAGAAAACCACTGCTGCCTGTGCTGGGTGGCCTGTGTTTCAGAATTCCCAGGGAGATCACAGGAGTCAAGGAAAGCAACAGAAAGCAGCTGAGGGTGGCACAACTCTGCACTTGTGAAGTCCCCTCAGGCCTTGGGGCTCAGCTGCTATACATGAGAATTGATGCCGGGCGGGGCTCCACTAACCACTGGAGAGATGTCTTGAGGCACCCCCAACAAAGGAGGATGTCGGCTTCAACCAACCACTCGAGAGAGGAAGCAAAAACAGGACAGATTGCAACACCCACTACACTTCCTTCATGCCCTGCTCTTGGGACATGGAGACCAGCAGAAAGAAGCTTGATTGTGGAGAGGTGCCCTAGCGGAGGGATGTCTGCCACAGTCCAGGCACGCCACAGAGGTAACATTAACTCTTGCTGTCTTTACTGTGGCACAAGTGAACGAGGCTCCTTACTTTCCTTCAGTGGTATTTGATGCTCACTCCTAAGAGTGCTATGGTCCTCCTTCTGCCTCCCCAACTTTCTCCTAAGTTGTAGACAGCTCTTGGGCCTTAATGGTTAGAATTCTTAAAAACACACACACACACACACACTAGCACACAGTGTTCTAGAGGTCTTTTATATGGTGTGGAAAACTTCTTGGCTCTGACACAAATTTGCCTGAATCAGCAGTGGTTGTCAATAGATATTGGAGAAACCAATGTGCAGGTCCTGGGAGGAGTTCCAAGAAGTTAGTGCTCACTGACCTGGCTTCTCAACTTTCTGGAATACAGTGTGCTGACACTTCTGAGATTAGACTCCAGGAAGAAAACAGGAGGGTCAGAGGTCACAGACTGTGCAGACTTGAAAACGCCTCTCTGCAGCCGCTACAGAACAGGGTCAGCTGCAGCTTCGTTCGCCTCTGCTTTAACTACTTAGGAAGGACCTGGAGTTCTGCATCTCCAGCTGGTCCTTCACCAGCACCAGAGGTCAGTCAGCTGCTGGTGACTCACACTTCCTGGACCTTTCAATGGTCCAGCCTGGGTCTGAAACTCTTCCCTAAAACGACTTGTTTTGTTCTAGGGTAGAAGCACAGTGAATGCATGGGTTTGGATGTCTTCAGAAAAGAATAGCTGATGTGCGTCCCCAGCCTTTCTGCAGAAGGATTTATCAGGGGACATCATGGGCTCTTTGAATTCCAGAGGTCACAAGGCAGAGGCCCAGGTGGTAATGATGGGCCTCGACTCTGCTGGCAAGACCACAATCCTGTACAAACTGAAAGGAAACCAGCTGGTGGATACCCTACCCACTGTTGGTTTTAATGTAGAGCCTCTTGAGACTCCTGGACATGTGTCACTGACTCTCTGGGACATTGGGGGACAGACTCAGCTCAGAGCTACCTGGAAGGACTACCTGGAAGGCATCGACCTCCTTGTGTACGTGCTGGACAGCACAGATGAAGCCCGCTTGCCTGAGGCGGTGGCTGAGCTCAAGGAAGTCCTGGAAGACCCTAACATGGCCGGCGTCCCTTTCTTGGTATTGGCCAACAAGCAGGAGGCTCCTGATGCTCTACCATTGCTTGAAATCAGAAACAGGCTGGGCCTGGAAAGGTTCCAAGACCATTGCTGGGAGCTGCGGGCCTGCAGTGCGCTCACAGGTCAGGGGCTGCAGGAAGCCCTGCAGAGCCTGGTGCATTTGGTGAAGTCCTAATGACATGCAGTAACCTCTGGCTCCAGGCTGGAGCAGGACAGGGAGCAGCATCAGCTGGACCCCCTGAGCAGGCAGAACAGCTTATCCTTGTTTCTATGAACAGGAGGGGCCACCTGAGCCTTGAGAAAGTGAAGCTCAGCTTGCCATATGAAAAACTACATTTCTCTTGGACAGAATATTTACTTAGGACTTATTCTCAGTGGCAGTTATGCTGAAAATCAACTGTTCTTCAAGTAACAATAATCAGAGGAATATAAAAATCTTCACAGTACCCTGTGTAAGAGCTCAGTACCAAGTGTCAATGTAACAAAGTTGGTGACATAATAATTGACGACCAAGTTCACAAATGAAAAGAAGTTTCAAAACTGCATCTGAGTGTCATCAGGCCTATCACTATCATCTGAATGTCACTGAACCTATCACTGTCATCAGGAGTGACTCTTCCTGCTGGCCTCTGGGCAGGAGCCACTGTCACTCAAACATTTAGCTGGGCTGGCAGCAGTGAGGGGCAGGTCTGCTTCCACAAAGCTGCAGGAGTCCATTGGGCCCTTGATCCTCCCAGAATTCCCCCTGCTCTCCAACTCTGACTAACTCTTCTCTGCCCTACATCCTCTGTTGTTGAAAGAAAAAAAAAGTAAAATAACACTCCACTTATACTCTCCTTTGCTTCTTTTGTAGCACATGTCTGTCCTTAAAGATTAGGAATCAGGGCTTAGCAGGTAGTGGCACTTGCTGTAGAGTCTAATGACCTGGGTTTGAGCCCCAGAGAGAAAGCTGTCTCTCTCTCTCTCTCTCTCTCTCTCTCTCTCTCTCTCTCTCTCTCTCTCTCTCTCTGTGTGTGTGTGTGTGTGTGTGTGTGTGCAATGGCAAGCATGTGTCTTCCACTCCCAGATGAATAAATATTTTAAAAAATGTTTTCAATCAGACCAAGCTTGGGCTGTAGCCCAGTGCCTTGAATGCATGCACCAGGTCTTGGGTTCAGTCTCTAGCACTGGATCGGGGGTGCAGGATGTGTACAGATTAGCAGTGCCTGCCTGTAATCCTAGCGTGTGGGAGTCAGAGGTGTGAGGAGCTGCAAGGTAAAACAACCACAATAACAGAACGGATCAGATGCGTTGGTTTTAATGGAAGGTATGTAGAGAGCGAGAACTCGTAATTTATGGCAAACCAAAACCAAACACCCGGCGTGCTGGCTGGGCCGCACTGAAGGGTGTGCTGGCTGGGCCGCACTGGAGGGTGTGCTGGCTGTGCCGCACTGGAGGCCTCTGAAGCTCTGAGGTTAGGCCAGCCTGGTCTAGATAGCGAGACCCAGAGAGAGAAAGAGAGGGGGCGTTAAATCGAGATAGAGGGAGAGAGAGAAGAAGAGAGAGGAAGAAAGAGAAACAGAGACAGACAGGGACAGAAGGAAGGAAGGAAGGAAGGAAGGAAGGAAGGAAGGAAGGAAGGAAGGAGGGAGGGAGGGAGGGAGGGAGGGAGGGAGGGAGAGAGGGGGGAGGGAGAGAGGGGGGAGGGAGGGAGGGAGGGAGGGAGGGAGGAAAGAAAGAAAGAAAGAAAGAAAGAAAGAAAGAAAGAAAGAAAGAGTGAATGAATGAATGAAAAAGGGAGAGGAGAGAGGCTGGAGAGATGTCTCAATGGTTAAGAGTACTGGCTGCTCTTCCAGAGGACCTGGGTTCAATTCCCAGCACCCATATGGCAGCTCTCAACTGTCTATAACTCCAGTTCCAGGGGATCTGACACATCACACATACATGCAGGCAAAACACTAATGTATATTAAATAAATAAATAAACAAACAAATAATGTTTGAGAGGAAGAGAATAGAAGAGGAGAAGAGAGAAGGGAAGGGGAGGGGAGGAGAGAGG